TCAAAACAAACAGGCACTAAGGAATTCAATAAGCCTACTTAGAAGAAAAACAATTTTGGAATAAACCAACAGTAAATGAACCACATACATGCTACTGAGGGAGGCTAGAAGTAGGAAAAGTTGGGGGCTCATGTAGGTTGCCTGGGGATGGGTCAAACCACCCTCACCTGGCTGGGAGCTGCCCATGCCCTCGACTTGTTCATTATCAGGTGGGAACCTCCTGCACCTGCCCTCCAATGAGGTAGTGTAGGTTTTAAAGGCACCTGAAAAAGAAAAGCGCTCTCTCTCTGCCAGAGTACTCCACCTGCACCCACTGTGTCCCCTTCTTCTTCCGTTCCCTCACCTGGCAGAATGGGTGACTCCCCTTCTCAATAAAGGTATTCCACCTCACCCCATCCATGTGTTCTCTTGGATTCTTCCATTTGGAGCACAAAAACCAAGATCTTCTGATAACAGACTGCACCAGCACTATTAACACTACTATACTAAAACCTAGTACAATGAACACCAAGGAAGAGTGGAGAGTGCCAGAAGACAGAGAGAGAGAGAGAGAGAGAGAGAGAGAGAGAGAGAGAGAGAGAGAGAGAGAGAGTGAGTGAGTGTGTGTGTGTGTGTGTGTGTGTGTGTGTGTGTATGTTACTGGCCCTTTTTTGTCTTGGGTATTCTTGAGATAGGGTCTCTCAAACTATTTGCCAAGACAGGCTTGGAAACTTGATCCTTCTGAGCTCTGCCTCCTGAGTGGCTAGGACAGGCGCCTGGCACTAGAAGGCAGTCTGTCACATTCATAGATGTGTTTGATTTTAGTGCATGCTGAGTGGGAACATACATGTTTTAAAGGAACATTTAAAGATAAAACACATTTAAAGATAGCAGTTTTAGCCAAGAGCCGGTGCCTCACACCTGTAATCCTACCTACATGGGAAGCTGAGATGGGGAGGATCAAGATACCAGGCGAGCCTGGGGGAAATAGTTCCCCAAACTACATCTCCAAAAAAAATAATAAAAGCAAAATGGACTAGAGGTGTGGCTCAAGTGGCAGAGCGACTGCTACGCAAGTGCAAAGCCCTGAGTTGAAACACCAGTCCCACCAAAAAAAAAAAGCAGTTTTTAGGAATTAGTGTTATCTAATGACATTACTGTAACCTCTTTTTCTTTTACAAGTAGGCAAGCCTAAGGTAGAAATACATTATTACATACTTCAGTGATCTCAGAGATGGTCCTTTCCTACCAAGAACAATGAATCTGTAACTTCAAGTACAAAGCTCTTTCCCTAAAACTGGAAACACTTCTTGTACAAACCAAAAAGAATTCTGGCTTCCATCTACCAGAACAGCAATTTAAAACAGCTAGTAAGGGTGGGCATGGTTGAGCTACTGGGGAGGTTGGACTCAAGAGGGAGCATCATTTTCAAAATAAGATTTAAAATTCCCCTATGGGTAGTATTTTTTTGGGTTTTTTTTTTTTTTTTGGCAGTACTGGGGTTTAAATTCAGGGCCTCAGACTTGCTAGGCAGGTACTCTACCACTTGACCCACTCTGACAGCCCTTCTTTATATTGGGTATTTTCAAGGTAGGGTCTCTCGAACTATCTCCCCAGGCTGGCCTCAAACCACGATCCTCCCGATCTCTGCCTCCTGAGAACCTAGGATTATAGGCATGAGCCAATGGTACACAGCTTTTTTTCTTTTACATTTTCTAAAAATGAATGGGAAGATGCAGTAGCCAAAACAAATACTAAGGCATTTAGAAACAGGACTTGATTTTAGTAATGTTCCTTATTAAGAGAAAGCACTAAAAAGTATGAAAACAAACAAGCAGATGGTGACCCATGACAAATAAACTTTGGGGTAACAATGAGAAAAAGGCCTAGAATCAAACATACTTATTGGAAGAGGTTGAACAGACCAAAGTACATTGTGGACACACATTGAGACACCCCTCTGAACATCAACTTAAATATTAATAATGAAAACTAGGACTGTAAGATAGGTACATTGTGGGGGGATATTACTGGGGGGGGAGGGTGAAGGATTTAAGGCGACAGTATATGGTAGATGGACTTCATATACCTGTATGAAACAGAACTAAGAAACCTCTTGCAATGGCTTTAAGTGGGGCTGGAAGGGGTTGAGGGAGAAGAGATGATGAGACAATGTAAATAATGTACAATATAAGGGTAATCAGAATGGTCACTATGAATTTCCCCCCATATAATGAATATATCCTAATAAAAAATTTATTTAAAAAAACATATTTATTAAGGTCTGAACTTAAAGCCTTGGCGATTGGGCCAATAACTGTACTAGTAACTTAACTTGGTTCTAAGAATCAAATGAAATATGCAAAACAAAAAGAAACTGTTATACCTATCTGAAAAATGCCTCTTTAAACACCAAATATTGGAAACCAAATAATGAAAGCCTGCAGTATCCCAGTTCTACAGTCTTACAGAATATCCACCATAATTCAACACTTTTTTTTTTTTCTTTTTGCAGTACTGGGGCTTGAACTCTGAACTTTCACCTTGGGCCACTCTGCCAGCCCTTTTCTGTGGTGGGTATTTTTGAGGTAGGGTCTCATGAACTATTTGCCCAGGCTGGCTTCAAACCATGATCCTCCTAATCTCTGCCTCCTGAGTAACTAGGATTACAGATGTGAGCCACCAGCACCCAGCTCAACCGTTTCTTAATGACTCAAAGAGTCATCATAAAGAACAGGAGTATGTTAGGAATACCTTAGGGACCACAGACCGTATAAATATTCCAAAATTTAGAACTTTGTCTTGCTCCAGTCATTTCTTTTTGATATAACCAGATGGTTCAAATCTTCTTTATTTTTCATAGTACTATGTTGGGCCTAACAGCCTGCCTATAGCAGTTACTTTCCTTGTTATTCCTGGGGTTGGTTTTTTAAGATCAAGTCTTGCTATGCTCCAGACTGTCCTCAACTCACCATGTAGTCCAGGCTAACAAACTTCTGATGTTCCTACCTCAAATGGACAACCTGAGTTAGGTCTCTCACTTTCAACCAAATAACTAGTCTCATAATCTCTGAAAAGTAGTATACAGCTTACAATATTACCTTTATTATTATTAGTACAACTATCACTAATTGTGTACTTGCTGCATATAAAGCAGCAACCTGAGTTAGGTCTCTCACTTTCAACCAAATAACTGGTCTCATAATCTCTGAAAAGTAGTATACAGCTCACAATATTACCTTTATTATTATTAGTACAACTATCACTAATTGTGTACTTGCTGCATATAAAGCTCTAGTGTTTTAAGTACAATAACTCATTTAAATCGTTTTAAATGAGCATACCTCATATCAAATCCTATATCCTTCAATACCATATTCCACTGAGTCCAGTGTCATTTTACAGTAGAGAAAGCGGATTCAGGAAAATGCAGTCACTCTGAGTCTCAGTTCCTGTATCTATAAAATAGGCACAAAAAATGCCTGCCTGTTTGACGGGATGAAAGTTAGATGACAATGTTACAGCACTGAAGGGTCTCAGTGTGCTGAGTGCACAATTCTAGGACGCACCACTCACACAGAAGCAGAGAGAATTCTCCAGAAACAGGGAACACCACAAATGTCTGTATGTATGTGTGTGCCTCTGTAACTATATACACACACAGATAATTAGTGTGAAGTACATTCATTTTATTAAGTGCTATCAAGATACAATAAAACCAGTAGAAACAGAAGTCCTTAACAGGAAAAAGCAAGTAATTTTTTTGCCATAAACAACAGTTCAACTAATAAGCCCATGTTGGGCGTAACAGCCTGAAATCAACTTCATGACTGGTTAAAATACACAAATAATTACAAAAATCACCATAGAAACACCTAAACATTTACATTTCTAATTTCTCTGCTTCATGAAAGAATAAAGGATTCAAATCACTATTTCCAGGGGAAAAAAATCAATTCCATCAAAATGGCTGAGAAGTATTTCTTTCAGGATGTGATTTACAGTATTTACTAATTCATCAGACCACTGCAGGCATTTTGAAACTAAAATTTAAAGACTACTTGTATGTGTTCCCAAATTTTTCCTTATATTTGTGTATGAAGACTGACTAGGATTAAAATCCACTCTAGTCAACAAGAGATAGTGAATAATGAGCTGGGCATGGTGGTACATGCCCATAATCCCAGCACTCAGGCTGTGTCAAGAGGATGGAGAGTTTGAGGCCAGCAAGACTCTCAAAACACACACACACACACACACACACACACACACACACACACACACACACGAGACAAGGAAAACATGAGAATTGAGAGTACCAAGATTTAGGAGTCACAGGCATAAACCAAACCCTCCTTCCAAATATAAAGCAAAGACTTTGGCATTTGGTTTTGAACTACAGCGTTTCTTCATATTTTCTTCAACTAAACTTAAGGCCCAGTATTTTGAAGATGAACTACCAAAATACAACACCTATCCCAAGAAAGCTCTGCACATATCCACTTCAATGACAGTAATGCATTGACTGACTCATTGATCCATCCACCAGCATGCCTCTTTCCATGATGAATCCTTACTACCATTCTGGAGGGTTGGGGGGTGATAGCAAAGACAAATAAATGACCTTTTATCTATTATGTTTACAATGTCTATTAAAGTATAAATGATCAAAAGAGAATCACAGTGGTTCAGAAAGGGGTCGGTATTTAAGGACCAAATATAGGCAGCATACACATACCACTACAAAAAGAAACTGGTATAACCAGCAAACACTTAAAACCTAACTTTTGATGGCTATCAAAAAAGATTCACAAACTCTATGCATGATAAAATGACTAGAAAATGATAAAGCTAATACATCACTATTCAACAAATTATACATTACTAATTAATTTAAAAGACATTAGATGTAATCTTATAAACCAGACACAGAAGCTAAGTAGCTTCTGTTAGAGTTTACACAATAACATTCTGTATTTATAACATATTGGTCTGAAGGAATCAAAGCACTATTTCATTACCTTTGTCCCATCTTCACTGTATTCACTTGCTATTCAATAATATTCTTTCACCATTCTTCCCATTTACTAGTTATTCAAGAGCATTCTGACATTCTTATGATGCATAAATATTGTTTTTATTTATACATAAAACTCTGAAAAACTGTCAAAAAAACAATTACTCAAACAACATGTGAAGAGCAGACATGGATGGGATAGGCCTGTTGAAAGAGGAGGAATTTGTTTAACTTCATTTATTTCAGTAGTTTAAATCTTACCTTTGAACATCATTAACTAAAATGACAAAACAGATTGTATTTTAGGTCATGCCATTTTCTTCCAGATGATACCCAGGGACACCAGCTCATCTCATATAGGCTGAATAAGTCAGTTTTTCATTACCATGTAACAAAATATCACAGGCAGACTAATTTTAAAAAGAACAAAACTTTATTTAGCTCTGTTTTGGAGATTCAAGTGCCTGACACTAGCATTACTCAGTTCTAATAAGAACCCTCTTGGTTGTATCTCATAATGGAGAACAGCAAAGAAGGGAGCCGCCAGTGTTAGAGTAATTACATCCCCCAAACAGGAAGTCTGAATGCTGGGTGGGTCAGGCTCACTTTCATAACATCTTCTTGCAAAAACTACCCTTTTTGAGAACTACCATGGAGTCACATGAAAACTACCATAGCGCTTTTCCAGTGCCTGCCCCATTTGACCCAAGGACTTCCCACTAGGCACCTCTTAAAAACTCTATCATCTCCCACATTGTTACACTAGAGACCAAGCTTCCAACACATGGACCTTGACAATTTTCCACATACTGTTTCATTTCTAAGCAGAGAGGACCCTGCAACCCAGCATCACTACCCTCCCTTCTCTTCTAATTCAATTGTCAACTATAAATTCTAGCAAGTGTCTTCAGATGACTGCATACTTTTCTCCATTTATTTACCCATTAATCATCAGGTAAGAAAAGGAAAGAAGAAACATCTGCTAAGGTTCAGAAACCCATATCCCTAGTATGGTACTTGCACCTGCTGAATACTTTGAACCGATGATAAACACACTGGAAGAACCTCAGAAGCAAAAGCAGTTTTTTCTGAACCTCCTATCCTCTTTTCTCCAGCCCCCTTTTTTCCCCCAGGCAGGTCAAAGAAACAAGTATTCTTCTTCGGCCATGAAGAAATTCTGACCTGCCTCGTCTAATAGTAGATCAAAGCCCCTCATTCCAGATGAGCAAGTCAGAAGCAGGGCAGAGAGGCCAAGAAGAATCTGAACAAACAGGTTTTGCTAGGTTTGAGAATAAGAGGTCAGAAGGAGACTTTGTCTCTGAAGCTCTTCCAGTGTCTTATCAATTCAACTAATCAATATTAGAACATACCTTTTTTTTCTGGCCTAGTAACACTTCGACATAGCTGTCTATTCTTCATCAAACATAACATAAAAATACTTTTCCCTGGGTCTTTGGGTCTTCGTTTCCGAAGCCTCCTGTGTAACATAAACTTTTGATTAAATGAATCTGCTATGCTTTTCTCCTATTAACTTGTCTTTATTATATGTAAAGAAAGGTATCACACTTTTTCCCCCCTACACATCCATTCAGTTTTCAATCTGGATTCTTCCCTACAGAGACAGATCATCTACTTCTTTTTCCTTTTTTTTTTTTCTTGGAGGTACTAAGAATTGATCCTAGGGCCTCACTCATGGATCATCTACTTTTATTTCTCTTCAATACACTGTCTCAATGGTTGTAACAGTAAAAAGAAATACATAACTATAGTTGTAGCTATATAGGACATATTTTTGAGAATGCAAATATTAGTAAAAGAAAAAAGTAGTTATTTATCCATTGATATGGAGTATTAGTGATATTCTTTCAGGTGAAAAATGCCAGTGACAAGCTGCAGTGTGTCTTGCCTTTTGCTAAATGGAAAGAAAAATTTATTCACATTTACTTTTATGTGTACAAAATGATAGTTTCAGCAATTTTCTTTTTGGGGGATGGTACTGGGGTTTGAACTCAAGGCCTCAAGTTTTCTAGGCTGCTGCTCTACCACTTGAACCACTCTACCAACACAACAGTTTCTTTTAGATCATTCTAGACATTAGTGGTTAACTGCCAGCACTGCCAGGTTAACTGCCAGGAGACTGAGGAAGAGACTATGTTACCTACTTTTTAAAATCAATTAATTAATTTAAACTTGATTAAAACTTCAAAGATGTATTTGTGATTGCTTTAAACTAAAAGTTGAGGGCAGGTGGAGTGACAAAATGATTAGTTTGAGAACCCGTCTCACTCTATGATAATAAATTTTAACAAAAAAGCAAATGTCTTTTGCATTACCAACCTATCGCATTGTATTTTAATTAATAAATATTTATTAAGTAGCTTAACTGTAACACAATATAGGATGCATGCAAAGGCAGATATGAGAAATACAAAATTGTAACTCCTGCATGTTAACTATTAACACTGACAGCCCATCAAAATATGTCTGAAACTTCCTATGACCTCTTCAGGCATAGGAGAGTTAATATATAATGTGTGTGAGGGCTTCCTGATATCACCGAAAGGAATAAAACAATGCAGTACAGATGTGATTTTACTCCATGTTTCACATCTATATAAACACTGAAGAAACTGTAATTTCAGTTTATGAGAATATTGCAGTTCATTGGGAAGCTTCCAACTTAACTGCATGGAAAAGAATTCAAATGCTAAAACATTAAGTTAAAAAAAATCTTATATACAATACCAAGAAATCAGCTGCATGCATAAACTGATTTTATATGAACTTACCATAATTACCTAATAATCTAAAAATAAAAGAACTCACAAGATAGCCTAGAAGAAAATCCGTTTGTTAGAGACACAATTAAACCAAACAGATCTGAGAGAGAGAGTATACAGAGAGAAAGCAAGAGAGAGACCTTGCAGCTAAAATGAAATGCTACTTAAATGCCACCAAATGGGGCAGTTTAGCGGTGATGGTTTCTAAACTCACTCACCCATATTTCATTCATTGAGAAACAAAAGAAACAGTATATGGCTTCTGCTTCTAAGCATCTTATAATCCAACTGAAACTGTTAAGAGTACAAAAGCATTTTACACAGAGGACTTACTCTTAAAGTCAGAGCTGAAAGAAGGAAAAAAGTCCATGCAAAATAAAAAAAAAGTAAGATAAAATTTAAGTTTACATTCTTCTGGGGACAAATGCTGAAGCTTAAGTTTTGACCACAACATAAAAAAAGTTTTTAAAAGGGCACTGGGTCCAATTTATGCAGACACAATGCAGAGGAAGTGAAATACTATTCCAGTCAATGAGGAAACACTGGACAGAGGCACAGTGGTCAAGAACACAGACTTCCAAGAAGAATGCTTAAAACTCAAATCCTAGTGCTTCCAACTACTAGCAACTCCTCCAAGCTCAAGTCTCAACTTCTTCACCAATCTGCCAACATAAATTATGAGGACCAAATGAGAATGAAGCATTCAGACAGTTACTGACATTAGAAACAGCAAGTGTTTTGCACTTTTTGTTTTGTCATTAGGCAGAGAAGATGACCAGGGCTGCATTTAGGACAATTAATAGCAGTATGATAATGAATGGCAAAACCTAGCGATTAAAGAGGTCTCAGTTGTGTACAGTTAATGGAAGAATGAAAAGGAAGGAAGGAGAATCAGGAACTACAAAGCAATAATGTTTGTGTTTTTTGTTTTGTTTTGTTTTTTTGAGGTACTTCTGAGAAAAGTAGAGTGAAAAACCAAGGATGACTTTTAGACTTTGAGCCTAGGTAACTAAGAAAATGTTAAGATCATTAATATAAACAAGCAAATGAGGAAGAATAAGTCTGCAAAGGTACTGATTCAAAATAACAAAATACAGCATGTAAGAGAGTTTATCAAGGAGAACAACAGCTAAAAAAGCAAATCTGAAGATAAGGAAAGAAAATGAGGCTGGTAATCCAGAAAAGGAGAGTGGGGGAGACCAGTTGAAAACCCTGGTCTGTAGGGGATCAAGAAAAGAGAAAGCACAATCCTAAAAGGAAGATCAGAACCAAACCTAAGGTAACACCTAAAATTAAGGAAGTGAGAGCATAAACAACAGCTGTAAGATAGAAGGCTCAGAGAAAATAGATCTTCACAACACTTCACATTCTAGTTCTTCAAATGTTCATTATAACTTCAAATTATGAACTGAACTGACTTATAATAATGAGTTTATTGTAAAGTTTTACTGAAAATTGTTAATTATTCCAACTCAATCCCCAGTAGGACACAGCTAAAACAGGATAATTAGATTATTTTTCAGTATCTCAAAGCTGAAAGAATTCTAAGTTAATTTCTCTTCTTTGCTTTCAATCCACACATGTGATTCTAGTGATTGCCCACTCTTTAAATCAATTCCTCTCCCTTCCTTTACTCTGACAGCCAATTTTCAGGTTTCCCTCACCCCTTTATTTTGCCTTCTTTTTTTTTTTTAATGGCAGTTTAATCTCTCCCTAGAAAAACAGGTCCTTTTTATGCAATTCCAAAAACACTGCTGTATACAAATTAGTTTTCAAAGCCCCAAACATAACCAAGTACTTCCATACTTTAGGCATGTAAAAAGTTTTCTGTGTTTTTAAACTCCAGATCATCCCTGGTTTTTTGGTTGTTTTTTAACCACAGGACCAAAATAGCTGATTTATTTCTGGATACTCATGACTATATGGCCCCAAAAGGATTTTCTGGTTAAATTGGAAAATAAGTTTCTATTTTTTTCCACCAGCAATAAGACCATTCTTAATAAGAATACACACACACATACACACAGCCTATTACCCAGACCCTCTACCCTTAGTAACTAAAAGTTAACAGTCCTTAACATATTCTATTAAAGAGATCTTTCTGAGGCTAAGATATTTTTGTGTCACACAACTATAAAATTCACATTCTGTGCTGTCCGGGAGATAATCAAAGAGATACACCACTAAGATATAACTCCAATTATCATCCTTAATGGCCAATAAAAGTGCAAATTTTTTGCTATATATGGGTGGCTTCTCAAATACATAGTATAAGTAATTGTTAACTTCAGTACTTGCCCTGTTTCTTTAAACTACATAGTTGTCACATCTTCTAAGATTAATATGGCATATTATGACACATACCCTACTGATAACATTTTTAAAAGACAAAATACCAAAAATGAAATAAAGAAGCAAAGTTTAATCTTTTTTAGACTTTTTAAAAGCCCTTTTCATATTCTTTTTCAGTTTACAAAACGTTCAACTAGGTACATAAAAATAATGTTTAATAAAAAAGCAATACAATCCCCCCACTTTCTTGGTTAAGGGCAAGATCAAGGACTGCAATATTTTAATATACCATCAGAAACCTCATCTAAAACATTGTTTCTGACGATTAATCCTGTGGACTGTTTTCAATGCCTGCAATCATTTCACATTGCTACTTTATAGTGAATATTTCAAAGAAAGAAAATTATCTATGATCAACAATTTTGTAAGGCAGTTTGCATTAATGGAAAGCAGCAAGGCAGAGCAAAAAAAACACAGTTCTTGGATTAATAAGCACATGTGAGTTTAAGCATTCACCACTACCAAAAAAGCAGTGGTCTCTCGGCATTTTAATCTCTCAGATCCTCTGTTTATTAATCTATAGAATGGGGAGAATGCTACTCATGTTATTATGTGAAATCTGTAAGAGCATATTATTACTGGAAACAATAACTAAAATGCCACGGATGCTTGTGATCCTTTTTTAAACCCAGTTCCCAAATAAAATGCTAAACAATTTAGCTTAAGATGTCAGTCTATTGAAGTTTAGAACCAGACGGTTGCTTGTGATTAATTTACTGGGTTCAGTTTTCCCTGGAAGCAAGCACCAAGATGAGCACAACAGTACATTTTTAATAAACACAAGTTAGTTATTAAATCAACAAAGCCTCCAGCTCTTCTGAACACAAAAAATACAAGGGGTAACAAGGATCTGCTACCTTTCTGATTTAATCCTCGTCCTTCCACCCCACTTAACTCCCTATGGTTCACTTATCAAAATACTTAATCCCTGTACTGTTTTTTCTGTCTTAACAAATTTCCTGGACCACTGGTTATCTACCTTACCTCTTTTTCATAAGTCGGCCACTTCATATTTAAGGAACTGTTTTCATCAGACCATATGGTATTTACATCACTCAAAAATAAAAAGTAAATTGTTTAACGATTTTAGTAACCTCCTTTATGAAGTCATCCAGCCTCATGTAAACTACTATTAAGCTCTGTGTAAACACATTACTCAACCTGTTTCATATGAAAGTATCACATCTGGCCTTGGACATTCTGAAAGTTTCACCAAATAAAGTTACAAAATATTGGCTTGCAGACCTTTTCAAAAGCGATTGCTGATTGAAAAACTGAAAACCATGTTCAGCAGTAAAGAAATACATAGCTATGCAGTTTTCTTAAATGAATGAGGTAATTTTTA